CCAACCAGTCCACCACTCTGAGGAAAAAAAAAAAAAAACCATCCAAGATTGGCTCACATTAATTCATGATTCTTATGGTTATGGCAGACCTGGAAATATCAAGGAATTTTAAACCTGTGATTTGAAATGGAAATTTATATTGAGAATATATATTCTTCTAGTTAGTGTTTTTTAAATTCTTTTAATGCATTTAAAAAAATAATCCTTATGCATTATTTGTATGACTGAAAAACATTTAAAAAGGGGAACTCTGAACAGATATTTAAAAATTGTGGAAGATGTGGAAATGTTTACTTTTCTGAAAAGTCCTTTTTAATGCACTTTTGTAAACATTTTAATTCAATAATGCATTTAGGAACAGACTCCAGGACAGCTCAACAGAAGTCAAAATCGAGCTGGCCGGTATTACAGGGCAGTTGGCTTGCTGTTTGTCTGAGAGCTCACAACTGCAGTTCCCTCAGGATACGATGCCATCCCATGAGCTGCTCTGTGCTGGTCTCAGCATTTCCGACTCCCACCCAAGCCAGACTTCCTCCATCGGAGCCTCCATCCTCACCCCATTCCTTCTGCTGCTCAAATCTGTGGAGGACAAGAAGGTCAAGCAAGGTTAGTCCAGTCAGCATTACTTTCAGAGAATCTAATTAAATAGTCTGCTGCAGTGATAATGTATTTAAGCCAACCTGTAAATTAGCATCATGCTGGTTCCCTCGACAAAAACCCATTAGGGTTTTGGATAGGGATGCACTGATGTATCGGCCGCCGATATTTATCGGCCGATTTTTCCTCAATTTACAACCATCGGCATATCGGCTATATAAGGAAAAAGGCAGATATAACAAACCGATGGTTTATTATTTAACTGCGTGAAGGCACTGAGCTGTATAATGTCTGTTGCATAATCCTAGCGCTGCTGTCTGCACTTTAATGCTAATCAAATAACAAAAGATCGCACACTATTCTTGACTAAATAACTTTTGTAACTTTCATAAGTGTAGCGGACCTCATCTGAATGATGACCAAAACTTTACTGATGTTTTATTAAGTTTATTGCGTCCTTTTTCACTCCAAAAAAATCACCATAAGAGCTAAACAAAACACAGCACGAGAAGTGCACATTAAACTCTCTCTCTCAGTTGCATTATCATCAACATACAGCGAATTACACAAAACACTTATTACAACTAACAGTAAACAAATATATACAGATCTCATGCCTTTTTGGGGGGTGCTTAATAATAAACTGACAAATTTATAATAAACAACTGCTTTCATTACCCATATAGCTGCTCTGTAGATTAGAAAACCTGTCAAAATAAGAGTCCCGCCTTGTTAATGGAGATCTCATACATATTTAAACTTGCAAAAAATATCAAAATGTATACAAAAACAAATTAGAAGATTAATCATAATAAAGTTTGTTACAATAAAGAAGGATTAATATGTATTTAATTTATACAGTGAAGTGTTATTTTACATTTGTTTACTTTATTTCTGTACCTGAAAACTGTTAAACCTACCTAAAAAGCACTGTTTATTTAATATGTATCTTTGTTCTGTTGTATTTATGTAGGCCTGCTGAATGTTAAATCCAATCCATGTTCATTAGAAATTATTTGATAATGCAGCAATAAATCTGCTAGCATAATGTAATGCAGGTGTTTTTGAACGTTGCTGATTTAAAACATGATCAAAATACTATCTATTTTGATCCCAAAATTTCAAATAAGAGAGGAAGTGACAAATATCGGTATCGGAATCGGCCAATAAGTGATTGATCGGTGCATCCCTAATTTTTGATTATTTACAGAAAAAAAGCTCTGTGATTAACAAAAGTAATGACACATTTTGTTCCTGATGATAATGTTTTGTTTAGATGAACACAAATTTGATGAATTTTGAAGTCTAAATAAATCACCAGATTTAAGCCAAACGTTGGTGTGGCAAGTGGAGTGGTCACGATTTCCACAGAGGACTTCCTGAAGGATGTAAGGAGGAGTGAGGACAGTTGAGGGAGAGAAATGACCAGGCCTGGAACATTTTATGTTTTGTGTGTGTGTCAGTTGGCTGTGAGGTGGCTGCCGCTCGTTTTGTTTGAGTATTTTTAATTTATGAGATTGTATGTTTAATTTGAACAGTTTTCCGCCTTTTTCTTCCCATATCAACGAACTTCAACATAGTTGGCTATAAACAAACTACACTACAGTTGCTTGAGTTTAGTGTCACCATCATGAAGCCACTGACAACTCTTTCAGTCTTTATTTAAACAACGTTTTCCCTAAAAGTTTGAGTTAGAATGATGTTTAAGGTCCCTGACAATCTCTGTGGTCCCTTTAGGCCACTTGTTTGCGACTGCCTTTTCAAGACAAGTTAAACCTTTAAAAAAAACAAAAAAACAAGGGGTATTATTGATGTATTTTATGTCGTAGAATAAGACATGAAAATATCTTGAGCTTGTGTTAACCACAGACTTTATTTTAGGAATTATTTTAGGGAAAAAAACTTGTCTTCAGAATGATTGAACTCGTTTCTGAGTTTTGACCTACAAAAATGTGTGATCCAAGCAGCACACTTAAGGATTAAATGCTTGGTCTGAACAATGTAAATAGCTGAATTTGCATGAATGAATTTATTAAATATGAATTTGTTTTTATTTGTGCTTTTGGTAGTGCGTTTTTCTCTTGCAACTCTTACAGTGATCTAAGCATTACATTGTACTGTGCAAATATTTTATTACACAAAACACTTATTACAACTAACAGTAAACAAATATATACAGATCTCATGCCTTTTTGGGGGGTGCTTAATAATAAACTGACAAATTTATAATAAACAACTGCTTTCATTACCCATATAGCTGCTCTGTAGATTAGAAAACCTGTCAAAATAAGAGTCCCGCCTTGTTAATGGAGATCTCATACATATTTAAACTTGCAAAAAATATCAAAATGTATACAAAAACAAATTAGAAGATTAATCATAATAAAGTTTGTTACAATAAAGAAGGATTAATATGTATTTAATTTATACAGTGAAGTGTTATTTTACATTTGTTTACTTTATTTCTGTACCTGAAAACTGTTAAACCTACCTAAAAAGCACTGTTTATTTAGTATGTATCTTTGTTCTGTTGTATTTATGTAGGCCTGCTGAATGTTAAATCCAATCCATGTTCATTAGAAATTATTTGATAATGCAGCAATAAATCTGCTAGCATAATGTAATGCAGGTGTTTTTGAACGTTGCTGATTTAAAACATGATCAAAATACTATCTATTTTGATCCCAAAATTTCAAATAAGAGAGGAAGTGACAAATATCGGTATCGGAATCGGCCAATAAGTGATTGATCGGTGCATCCCTAATTTTTGATTATTTACAGAAAAAAAGCTCTGTGATTAACAAAAGTAATGACACATTTTGTTCCTGATGATAATGTTTTGTTTAGATGAACACAAATTTGATGAATTTTGAAGTCTAAATAAATCACCAGATTTAAGCCAAACGTTGGTGTGGCAAGTGGAGTGGTCACGATTTCCACAGAGGACCTCCTGAAGGATGTAAGGAGGAGTGAGGACAGTTGAGGGAGAGAAATGACCAGGCCTGGAACATTTTATGTTTTGTGTGTGTGTCAGTTGGCTGTGAGGTGGCTGCCGCTCGTTTTGTTTGAGTATTTTTAATTTATGAGATTGTATGTTTAATTTGAACAGTTTTCCGCCTTTTTCTTCCCATATCAACGAACTTCAACATAGTTGGCTATAAACAAACTACACTACAGTTGCTTGAGTTTAGTGTCACCATCATGAAGCCACTGACAACTCTTTCAGTCTTTATTTAAACAACGTTTTCCCTAAAAGTTTGAGTTAGAATGATGTTTAAGGTCCCTGACAATCTCTGTGGTCCCTTTAGGCCACTTGTTTGCGACTGCCTTTTCAAGACAAGTTAAACCTTTAAAAAAAACAAAAAAACAAGGGGTATTATTGATGTATTTTATGTCGTAGAATAAGACATGAAAATATCTTGAGCTTGTGTTAACCACAGACTTTATTTTAGGAATTATTTTAGGGAAAAAAACTTGTCTTCAGAATGATTGAACTCGTTTCTGAGTTTTGACCTACAAAAATGTGTGATCCAAGCAGCACACTTAAGGATTAAATGCTTGGTCTGAACAATGTAAATAGCTGAATTTGCATGAATGAATTTATTAAATGTGAATTTGTTTTTATTTGTGCTTTTGGTAGTGCGTTTTTCTCTTGCAACTCTTACAGTGATCTAAGCATTAATACATTGTACTGTGCAAATATTTTATAGCTCACCATATCAGTCTTAACTTTTGTCTTTTGAAACGGCAGCTTTTATCAGGAATATACGGCACTTGTTCAAACATGTGGATCTGGGTAACAGTGACCCTGACACAAAATCTCTGGTTAGCGCATTAGTCAACCTCATTGAAGACCCTGACCAGGACGTCCGCATAAAGTTTGGCCTTAATATCAAGAATCTTCTAGAGTTTTGGAATGGAAATGGCTTCCTAAAAGAGGTACAGTTTTAAATTTCAAATTATGACATGCTAACCATCATCACCTTTTTGGCACTTGATGTCATTCATTAAGTCATTTAGCAGATGCTTTTATCCAAACTAACTAATGGATGTATTATGATTTTGATTTTCACAGCTTCTTGTGTCCAGACTAAAAGAAGCTTACACAAATGCAAAGACCTCAAGAAACAATGAACTCAAAAACACACTCATACTAACCACTGGAGAAATTGGGAGGTAGTGCAAAATGCTTTTTTTGCTGCCATTTTAGTATATATTGATCCTTCCTGCTGTTAAAAGTGTTTAAATCATGTATCAACAATGCATTTCTTGCTTATGGTGGTTCTCAGAGCTGCTGAAGGGAACCTGGTGTCTTTTGCTCTGCTTCGTCTTCTGCACTGCTTGCTGTCCAAGTCTAATCCTGTGTCGGTAGCAGCCTACACCGAGATCCAGGCTTTGGCCACCTGTAGACACCTCAAACTGCAGTCCTTCTTCAACCAGTACAGGAACCCAATTTGCCAGGTCAGTGTGCACTTTTGATACTGTGATGATGTTATCATTATTTATAATGCTGTGCATTTATGGGGTGTTATATGTATCAACGTGAGTACCAACGTAAGCTGTTTATCACCTTCAAAAAAGCTTAAAAACTATGAGCTAGGAATGGAGAACAGTGTTTAGGTTAAAAACAAACTAAACTTTGTGGTCAATCAAATTCACCTAGAGTAATAAAATGTAATGGGTCTACCTTTTTGTTTATTGCAGTTCTTGGTGGAGTCTTTGCATTCACGTCATGTGACGGCTCTGCGCTGCACGCCAGATCAGAGCAGCGAGGCTCTGCAGGAGGAGGCGGCCCATCAGAGAGAGCTGGCACTGGACATCCTGTCTCATGTGGCACATGTCTTTGATTTCCCTGACCTTAATCGTTTTCTCAATGTAAGTCCAACATCTCAATATCAGATTCAGCAAGATCAGCCTCTGACGTAACAGAACAGCCTTAAAGGGATAGTCCACCCAAAAATTTAAATTCTGTCAACATTTATTCACTGTCATGATGTTCCAAACCTGTACAACTTACTTTCCTATGTGAAACACAAAAGAAGATATTTAAAAAAATGTTGGTAACCAAATGGTTTCCGGTCCCATTGCCTTCCATTTGTATGGACAAAAAATACAATGAGACCCAAAACTGTTTGGTTACTAACATTCTTCAAAACAAAGTAACTCATACAGATTTGGAATGACATGAGGGTGAGTAAACGATGACAGAATTTTCATTTTACGGCGGACTATCCCTTTAAAGGATTAGTTCACTCTTGAATTAAAATGTCCTGATAATTTACTCAACCCTATGTCATCCAAGATGTTCATGTCTTTCTTTCTTCAGTCAAAAAGAAATGAAGGTTTTTGAGGAAAACATTCCAGGAGTTTTCTCCATATAGTGGACTTCAATGGGGATCAACGGGCTGAAGGTCAAAATTGCAGTTCAGTGCAGCTTCAAAGGGCTCTACACGATCCCAGCCGAGGAATAAGGGTCTTATATTGCGAAACGATTGGTCATTTTCTAAAAAAAAAAAAATTGATATACTTTTTAACCCCAAATGCACGTCTTGCACTAGCTCCGCAATGCGCGTCCGCAAATTCACGCATTACGTAATCACGTTGGAAAGGTCATGCGCAGTTAGCTCTTCGTCTGTGTACTCCGGTTCAAAAAGGTAGGGTAGGGCGAAAAACTCCATCTCATTTTCTCCTCCAACTTCAAAATTGTCTGTCATCCTTGTTTTACCTTGTTTTACCTCATCACAACATAAAGGTGACTACGTAATGCGTGAAGAAGAGCATTTTTGGTTAAAAAGTATATAAATATATATATTTTTTTTTTTAGAAAAAGACCGATCGTTTCCATAGATAAGACCCTTATTCCTCGGCTGGGATCGTGTAGAGCCCTTTGAAGCTGCAGTGAACTGCAATTTTGACCTTCAGCCCGTTGATCCCCATTGAAGTCCACTATATGGAGAAAAAACCTGGAATGTTTTCCTCAAAAACCTTAATTTAGTTTTGACTGAAGAAAGAAAGACACGAGCATCTTGGATGACATAGGGGTGAGGAAATTTTAATTCTGGAGTGAACTAATCCTTTAATTTTAGGCAAATATTGTAGAGTAAAGCTTAGTTTCAGCATAAATGCTGAGACTGGGAAAACTTTTGAAGCCATCAAGAGTAATCTTGATAGCAATGATAAATTCATCTGATGAACTAAAGAATGACTTTCATTGGTAATTTCACTGAAGCATTGAGCTTACTCTGTCTCTCTTTGTTCACAGCGGACACTACAGGTCCTTCTTCCCTTCTTGGCAGCCAAGGCCAGTCCTACAGCTTCTGCCCTGATCCGCACTATTGCCAAGCAACTGAATGTCAACCGCAGAGAAATGCTCATCAATAACTTCAAATATATTTTCTCCCATCTTGTGTGTTCCTGTACCAAGGAGGAGCTGGAGAGAGCCTTTCACTACCTTAAGGTGGGATTTTCACATTATGAAATCAGGAGATGAGCAGTGAGAAAAAAGACAAAGAGAAAGAGGATGGTTACAAAAGAAGTGTATATATATATATTTAAAAAATGTACTCTATTATGGCTTAGAATTTTCATTTACTACTTTATTTATATACTTTTTAAAACTTATTTACTTGTATGCGTGTTTTTATTTATTTATTAGAAATATATGTATAGGTAATATTTATTTTTTATTTAATAAATATTTTGTTTCACAGAATGAGACAGAAATTGAATTGGGCAGTCTGCTGAGACAGGATTTCCAGGGTCTTCATAATGAGCTGCTCTTGCGTCTAGGAGAACACTACCAGCAGGTCTTTAATGGACTTGCTATTCTAGTTTCTTTTGCCTCCAGTGACGACCCCTACCAGGGCCCAAGAGAAATCACCACCCCAGGATGCATGGTACAGTTGCTCTAATAATAATCATCAGATTAAGACCCCACTTTCACAGACTGATTCAAGTACATTTATTCTGCAGAGTTGAATGCATTGGGGTCTGTTTCAGTTTTCTATTATAGCCATTGTTCTGGACATAATGCCATCTGTCACTGTACTGTATGTTTGTGCAGGCAGATTATCTGCAGCCCAAGCTCCTAGGCATTCTGGCTTTCTTCAACATGCAGCTGCTGAGCTCTAGTGCTGGAGAGAAGGAGAAAAAGAAAATGGTAGGTGTTCAATACAAATTGTCTGGTTTTAATGCAAAACATTAGCTTTCAGTAGCTATGATCTATTTTACCGCATTATAAACTGATCATACACCACGTTCTAGGCACAACATACTGTTATAGGTTTTTTTCTGTTCTCACTGAAAGCGAAATGCTGCAGAAAATGACAAATCAACCTGTCAGAATATATTTAATGTTACTGTTATTTGGAGCTGGATTTTGAACCAATGAGATTTCTTTGAGGGTGCGACAGCATGTTCTGTTCCTCATTGCTTGTCATGGCTAGTTAGGACGAAAAGGGATAGTTCAGCCAGAAATTAAAATTCTTTCATTATTTACTTTGTCATATTGTTCCAAACCCATGTGACTTCTTTCTTTCTTCTGTGAAACAAAAAATTGATCTTTTGAACTGACTGTTTATGGCTGTTATGCTTCAAAAATTACAGAAAAAAACGGTCAGATATCAAACACCAAAAAAGTGTGAGATTTATCAACAAATCTGTTAAAAATGTATTGTTTTGTCCCACTTGTGAACCAGAGCAACCGCTTTATTTAAAAGAACTGGCTAAAAATAACAATTAATTTGCTCATAATGTTATCCAGTTTAGCTTTCCTGACTTTGTGATCCACTTGTTGTGGATCTCAAGTTTAGAGTTTACTATAGAGGATTATCATGAATAATTTGGAAATTCAATAGAAATTAAAGCGAATAGTGATTTTCAGTCACTACAGAGGACTTCTATAGAGCACAAGTTTTATTGACTGCTTTTTTTAGTGTTTTTGTCATTATTGGAGAAAAATTCTTTAAAGGTGACATATGGAAATCTGACTTTTCCAGGTTTTAAGTGCTATAATCAGGTCTCCGGTGCATCTACCAACCAAGAAAACGTGAAAAAGATTAACCCAGTAACTTTGTTTTGGTAAGGCTTTTTTCTGCAAGAGTCTGAGAAAATGAGCGCGTCTGATTTTGCTCCCTTGGTGATGTGGCAAAGGGATCTCATTATAACATTACCGCCCCTTAATCTGTAAGTTTCCACCCACGGCACCGTCACTTTGATTTCGCAAGTGACAACGGTGTACCAGCTCTAATGCAATGGCGAAAGTTTGAGCAAAACATGCTAACTGTTCTGTCTTTGGCTGCACAGACGAGCACAGAACACGGTTTAGAGTCCCAGCCTCAGAGGAGACAAGAGAGCAGTGGATTTATTTATTTATTTACTGTATATTGCTGCTGCCACACAGATCTAAAATAAACATGCGATTTATTTCACAGCAGTTTATCTTCACAGACATAACCGTCTGTTTTTGTAACTCATGTGTGTTTTTAATGTAAACTTGTACTGTTTTTGTAACTCGTGTGTGTTTTTAATGTAAACTTGTGTGTGAATGAGAACTTAGTTTAGTACTCGCATGCTGTGACAGCCGCTTTCTGTCTGTGTGCTTCGGATGTGTGCACTCAGTAAACGTATATCATTAGTTTAAACTCATATGGCTTAAAACGCATGATTTCAGCACGATAAACATGATAATCAGAACCAAAACAGATGTTTTTTAGCAGGTCTGAGCTGTAATGGCACAGCTCTATTCTGGAAAAGGGGGTGGGGATCAGCAGCTTATTTGCATTTAAAGAAACAGTCCCGAAAAACAGCGTTTGAGTTCCACTCAAAATAGGCATTTTCAAAATGATATAATAAGCGTATTTTCTGTGGAGTATTTTGAGCTGAAACTTCACAGACACATTCTGGGGACACCAGAGACTTATATTACATATTGTAAAAAGGGGCATAATATGTCTGTTTTAAAGGGGTCCTATTATGCTTTTTCACTTTTTCAACTTTAGTTAGTCTGTAATTTTGCTGTTTGAGCATAAAAAAAGATCTGCAAAGTTACAAAGTTCAAAGTCCACCTCAAAAGAAGCTATTTTATTTAACAGAAATCATTTTATTTAACAGAAATCACTTTTCAAAAACTACAACGAACAGACAAGTAAAGATCTCCATAAACTCAGGATTTTCATGTCACAAGACAAGTAAAGATCTCCATAAACTCAGGATTTTAAGTACATAATGTTTATCAGTGCATGGTTGATAGTACAAAGAATCCAGAGCTGCAGGAGCTATTGAGAAAACCTGGTACTAGAGGCAGCAAGATTGTTCTATCCACATTATGTCAATATATTTGTTACCTTTTTCTCCACTCAGGCTCTGAACAGTTTAATGGCCCTGATGAAGCTAATGGGTCCAAAGCACATCAGCTCAGTCCGAGTGAAGATGATGACCACACTCAGAACTGGCCTGAGGTACAAGGACGACTTCCCAGAGCTCTGCTGCAGGTGTGTTTCTCATTTGGATCGGTCTGAATGTATAGAAGAAGCTGTGCACATCGATTATGAAGAGTATCAGAAGCACCATCTGCATGAGAGCGCTGCCGATATGATCCAGATTGTTCTTTAATTACTGCAGCGAACTCAACAGGACACCAGATTTGCATTTATATTTTAACGTTTAAGCTCAGCAAGAACCATCTGTATCTAATATGCAATCAGCCCAGAGGATGAAATTGTAATTGCACTTTGCCCACAAAATAACATTATTGTTATCTTGCTGGTTTACAGGACATGGGACTGTTTTGTGCGCTGTCTTGACCCGTCTTACCTGGGTCCGCTTCTGAGTCACGTAATCGTTGCTCTATTACCTCTCATCTCCATTCAACCTAAAGAGACGGCAGTGATCATGCAGTACCTCATAGTGGAGAACAGGTGTGTGTCATTCCTCCTTTCTCTTTTATGTTGTAGGCTAGATTTGGTTTTATAAGGTTTTTAGATATTTTTATAGATGTTATTTATTAATATGTTGACAACATACTTATTAAAAGTACAGTGTGTAATTTTTGCACCACTGACGTCACCAAAGTGAGTTGCAAAAATTATTTTCAATCAGGTTTGAACACTCCCCTCCTCCTCCATTGGTTGGACAAACGGATAGTCCCACCCCAAATTCATGCTATTGGCTGAGCCAGTTTTGCTTATCTCTAGTTGTTTCTGCATATTAAAGGAGAAATTATTTTAACGTTGAAACTATAACACTAATAAATTATACTAAAATATAATTTGTAATGTATCTTCTTATCTCAGGGAGGAAGTGCAAGACTTTCTTCATGAAATCTACTTCCTTCCTGACCACCCAGAACTGAAAACCATTCACAAGATCCTTCAAGATTACCGTAAGGTACAACCTAAACAAACCAATCATCACATCAATGTACACAAAACAATGTAAAAGACAGTTGTGCTGCACATTGTGATGTGATTTCAACAAAATTACATTTTCTTCGATAATTATGGTTGTGATTCGCAATTCTTCAACAACAGCAAACCTCAAAGAGCACTGACATGCAGGCAGTGCTGCAGCTCTCCATGCGGGCCATCCAGCATGAGAATGTGGACGTACGCATCCATGCGCTCACCAGCTTGAAGGAGATGATGTATAAAAAACAGGTTAGACTCACTCTTGATAAATAAGAAAGCATTGCCAGCTTGGATGCAAATACACGTATAGGGGTCTGTACATCATCAATTAATTACTCTGTTGATTACATTTGTATAATGAATAATAAAGTATGTAAATACAAAATGGGTAGATAAGCATATTGTTGCGGGCCAGGCTTAAAATAAAACGTAACAAGGGCCTGAAAGGATGATCTACAGTATATTTTTTGTTCTACAGGATGCTCTGTTAAAGCATGTCTTGGACAGTGAGATGGTTGAGCCAGTGATCTCTCAGTTAGTGACGGTGTTGCTCCGGGGCTGCCAGGACGTCAATCCTGAAGCCAGGCTTTTGTGTGGGGAATGCCTGGGGGAGCTGGGAGCCATTGATCCCGGTCGACTTGATTTGTCACCCGCTGACACTCAGGGAACTGGCTCGACATTTGTGGTAAGACAGTTTTGTTCCTGTATGTATCAAGCAGAATCTTGAAGATCGTGTTTTAAGTGTGTAGCTTTGCATTTTATGTATTCCAAGTATTAGGCACCGAATAAAGAGAATGTCTTTATGCTTTTAGAGTGGGATCGATGATCCAAACTTTGCCTATGAACTACTGACAGAGCTGACCAGAGCCTTTCTAGCCTATGCAGATGATGTGAGAGCTCAAGATGCTGCGGCGTACGCCATGCAGGTATGCACTGTGCTAAAGATCATGTCCTTTGTGACTCACTTTTAGACTTTCTTTGAGATTTTAGAAGTATTTAGCAAGGAGATATTTAGTTTTTTTTTTTTTACATATTAGCTTGAAATGGGTAAAAACTAAGGATGAATTGATATAAAAATATTGGCCTGATAAATGGCTGATATTTAAATTTTATACAATTTTGTCCTAATAAATTAAAAATCAAACACCAAAAAACTAAAATCATTAGTTTAAAATGCTACAAGTGAGTTTAGACATCGCAACATTGTAATGTACAGTATGAAAAATAACCATTTTTGAGTACTGCATGCAAGCACTGTTATTAAATCAATAGTGTTTTTAAAAATTAAAGGGGTCATATGATGCGATTTCAAGTTTTCCTTTCTCTTTGGAGTGTTACAAGCTGTTCGTGCATAGATAAGATCCCTAAAGTTGCAAAGACTAAAGTCTCAAACCCAAAGAGATATTCTTTATAAAAGTTAAGACTCGTCCACGCCCTCCTAAAACGCCTCGTTTAAACATGCCCCCACATGTCTACGTCACATGTGGAAATATTTGCATAATGC